GCTGTGTCTGTGTGTGTGTTGCTTATGTGTATAGTGTAATGTAGTGTATGTGCGTGGGGCCCCAATCAATTTATCACTTGAACAACGACAGACCAGCCGCTTGCACTGTATGTCCTCTGCGGATGCGGCTCGGACTCTGGTCTTTTTGGCAGTTCGTTTTTGGCTGTGGCTATTGCAGTAGAGAAAAATATAATTTTGCCACCCATTAGAACATTTATAAACAAAGGGTATTAGTGCCAAGCGCATGTCCACAGCGGTCGCTGGCCAAGCGATTATTGAGGCAGAGAGTTTGGGGCAGCGCCACTCACCATGCGAAAGGTATTAGGGCGCACGTTATGGGGCTCATTGAATGTGTCGCCAAAAGATTTAATGGAGCATGGCGCCTGGCCATAGGTGAAATATGCAATAGAAATGTATTTAAGCAGCAGCAGGCAGAAATTGAGAGAGCGAGAGAGAGAGAGAGGGAACGACGGAGAGAGCTCTGGCTGGACATGGACCCCAATGACCGCTGACCAAACACACAATAAATCATAACTGTGTCCAGCGTTCTGGCATTTGGTTTATTGATATTGTAGTCATAGTATTACATATCCTTGTTTATCCTGTCACCAGGCCCTAACACCGCCCACACATAAATATTAATCATATTTTATACGCTCTCCCTGGAAATTGATCATGTGTGGAAAAGTTTTTGCACAACTTATTGACTTGCAGCTGCGTTACGCAACGGAATAGAAAACTTTCTACACTTTTGCGAAAGGATAGCATAGCCAAAAGTCCTGTCCATGGCCAAATTATGTTAATGTACTGAAAAGATAGTTCAATAAACTTTGTAGCGGCTGCCAGAAGCACGACTCATAACTAATGCAAAGATAGTTATTAGCGAGCTGTCTGGCTGGTTGGCTTGCAGATTGAGTATACGCCGTATCAACCGAGCGGAAATGGTCGGTTTCAGCTGCCGGACTGCATGCCACACGGGTCTCATATCAAATCGCATTTCGAGGCATTTAGACGGGGCGAAAAACGACTGCAACAAATCAACTAAGTGAATGCCGAGTGGCTGGCCATGCCAGTTAGCTGCATGACAAATTACCACTCAGCTTTATGGCCAGCAAAGGCGACAGCAGGAGCTGTGGCTGCATGGGGTAGGTGTTGTAAGACGTTGTTTATTTGGTTTTCATGTCGCGCATGTTAAATGTAAATTATTCAAAATGCTTGCGAAAAACCCGCACCCGACAGCCTGGCCGGACGGACACACACATTCACACATTCGCACATATCCTGCACGTTGACCTTTTTAGCAATCCGGCAGCGCCGTCATTGGAGCGTGTAATTTGTGACATTTTGTTTTGCTCAGCTACGTTTTAACAAATAAGCTTCACGCGATTATGCAAATTTGAGAATAGTGTTCACTCTTCTCTTAACTACAATGCAGCAATGGGCTCTGCGCCTGCCTGTGGCCCAGATTTGGGCTCTGCCCTCACGAAAAGGTCACTTAACCGTAGCTCTTCCCTTCTGGCAAAAGAGATTTGTATGAATAAATTAGATTTCACTTATTGTACGAGTGCCATACAATAAGCACACTGAGTTTATTTTCATGAGCTTTGAGTTGATGGCAGAAATTTAAGACTGAAACATTTTAATGAAAATTAGCCTCCCTTTATGCAGCTATGCGAAAATATAATCCAGCTTGATTTGAAAAGCCTTATTGAATAGCTGTGAATAAATCATTTCTAATCATGCACACGGCAATTCTGTAACGGAATTGTTAAAGCTGATAATTGTACTTAGCAGGGATCAACTGAAATCTATAAGCAACGTTTACCAGCTTAGGCCTGAATATTTGCTATGTTGCTTCAGTGAGTATGGACAGTTGACAGCCTTCATATTCAAGGACTTAATTAACCTTCTTGTAGCTTAATTTAATATTAATAAAACTAACTTTGTGGATAGTAATATTATGAGATTATTGCTTAAATATGACTTTGTACATATAGCCTCCTCAATTTTCTTAATCATTACATTAATTACAATCATAGTAATTGAAGATATATTAGCCAATGACTTCGGCCGCCCATTTATGTATTCTTTCAATCAAAAATAGGTTTCATCAATTTGTAAGTGTATGAAGTGCAAGATAAATTTGACAAGCAAAATCAGTAATTTAATTAAGTATTTTAAAAATTTGCAAGCATCGCCTTAGCGTAAGTAAAATTAGCAAAGAATAATTATCGGTTGTCAAAAATGTTATCAAATAAGCAGCATTACCAACTCAACATTTCTTCTGAAATAAGAATTTTTCAGCTCTTAATTCTAGGGACTTAAGCTGAAGCCCTATACGCACTTTTATGAAATACTACAATAATTTTTATCTGAACTCGAGTTAGTATGAGCGATTACACAAATATGACTTGACTTGACAAAATCCTAATAACACTTAAAATATTGCCCTATGAACTTTCGCATACCTAAAGCATTATTCTCTTTAAAAATGAACTTGCCAAGTAAATTGTTTGTTTTAATAATGCCCGTCTGTCAGTTAAGCATAATCTTTTGTGCAACCGCAAACGTGTCTGCATCATGCGAGCAGACGACCGGGGCCATGTGTATTATGTGCATTTGATATATTTCTTAATAAAAATATAACGCAAGTCCAACAATGCCACATGGCTGCAAGGCGCGGCAGTGGGCGGGGCCAACTCATGTGTCACCAGCTGAAATGAGAAATGATCAAAGTGAGTGTTTGGCTGGAAAAGTGCAGATGCTGCACAAAAAAAGGCACCAGCAGCAGTAGCTGTGGCAGCTGTTGCCCACTTACAAAGAGTGAGTACGTGTGTGTGTGTGGGAAGTTGTCCAATGGAGCCAACTGGGACATCATCAGTTGCTACTTGCAATATGCAGCAGATCCAGGCAGCTGTCGGTGTGTGTGTGTATGTGGACTGTATGTCCACTCTGTTAATGCGCTGCAAAACTGCAACAGCAGCAAGGCGGATGCCCATCTGTTGCAGCCAAAGTAATCAGCCAAGTTAGCCAACTGGGAGCAGAATGTGTGAGTTTGTGTGTGTGTGTGTATGTGTGTGTGAATAGCTTTACCAAGTAATTAGTTGCTGTGCATTGATTTTTACGCGACGCCGCCTGCTGCTGCCTAATTCGCCATGACAAATTGTTAATACGTCAAAGCGCCGACAACAACAACAGCATCGCATAGAAATGCTAAAGAATAAAGCCATATAGCGATTGATGACAAAGTTGTCGCCGTCGGCAGAAGCCAACAGAATTTATGGTAATAAAAGCAGCAGACATGGTTTCGTCTGTGGGCGAAGTGTGTGTGTGCGTGTTTGTGGGAATGTGTGCGATTGTCTAAAATACGCCTTGATTAAGAGTAAGCGAATGTATGCAGACACAGCTCATTGGCATAAGGCGCCAGGACAAGCCTCGTCAGCATTCAGAGAAATCATAAAATGCGTATACGCCGCGTATGCCAGGCGCATAAATCATTTTAACACCAAAGGGAAAGATCCAGCACAAATGCCAACACATTTGGCACTGGGCAGGTGCTCGTGTATTTACATATAAATTGCCAGCTCACACACCCCGTCTCTTTATACTCACACACACACTCACACACACACTGAATGCGCATGTTTATAACACTCGAAGCAATTACTTAAACGCAAATGATGCAAGCACTTGCCTCGCGACTTTTTGAATGGTGTCGTCGGTTTATTTAGTAGATTTATATATATATATAAATATGTATATTATGTATGTATATTTAAACACTTTTTATCTCTTTGGTTCAGCGTACTAAATCGCGATATTAAAAGCGCTTAAGTTGTGCGCTTTAATACAAGTCGTTTCGTATGCGCGTTTGAGAATTTATAAATTTAAGATGACAGTCTTAGAAAATTGAGCGTGTTTTAATAAGAATACAAATTTTTAATGAAAGCCCCCATAAAAGAAAATGTGCTTTAAGTGAAAAATATGAATGTTAGCTTCACAAATAGAAAGGATATAGTAATAAAATCTCTATCTGAGTAGTATAGTCGTATTCGTATTCATAGACTAATATCCAGTCCTAACCCACGGAATTGAAATCGAAAGACAATGAAGAAGTTCCAGCTATATGAATCGCATTGCTGTAAACAGTCTATAATGGATCCAATTTATAGCTCATCGGCATGCTTGAGCATCTGGCATTAGTCAAAAGGCAATTATAGAACGAAGCATTAGAAGTGGTCAAAATAAAAATGCAATAAAATCAAGCGCTGGGCAATCTGGAATCCCAGCGAGTTATAAATTAAATGCAGCTGCTAGAAATTATAATTATTTGTAGTGCTGTAACACAATCGAAACGCTGTTTGTTGTCTTCACTGTAGACTTTATGGGTTAATGAAAATATAATTAACGCAGCTGTGTGAGCTCCTTTGATGCGTTGTCGTTAGTGAGCGTGTGCTTTGAACCTGCGCATCCAGACAACTTTTCCTTTTACTCTTTTGTTGCTGCAATTTGTATTTGCTATTTTCAGTGTGCTACTTTTTTTTCATTTTATCTGTTACAATTTGTGCAGCTACATGGCAAAATTAAATTTGTTTTGCACACTTTCCAGAGGCGTTTGTGTGTCATGCATTTTTACACCTTAATTTGCAGCTAATTTGCATTTTATATATGAGAATTTTCGCTTGTTGCGCAATTCCAGCTGCATTTGCAGCTGTCTTCTACCACCTTTTGCCCCAGCAATATGGAAATTGTGAACACATTTAGGAAATGCCATAGTACAATTTTCATTCTTCATTTAAATGTCAGAAAAACAAGGAATTCAATTAGCAGAATAGCAAGAACTTCGTTCACTTGGCTGGTATTCCACAAATATATTTAATATTAATGAAACATTTGTTACTTTCACATTTGACTATTTTATTTATGTTTATTCGAATCGAATAACAGTAATAAATTATTTTTACAAATAAATTGAAGTAAATACTCGTAAATTAGGCGCTCTACATACAATTGAAATACTCGTCTGACAGATTATGTACAATCGTATATAATTATGAACTTAATTAATTGCAAACAAGTTGAAACGGAACGGAATTTATTAATTGGGCTACATTAAAATATTAATCTTTATGCGTTAACCTAGAACTGAACCGCATCAATTGTGTTTTCATATTTAATTCTTTCCTTTTTCTTTTTTTGTACTTGAAGATAATTTGAAAATGCTTGTTAAATGAATTCGGGTTCAAAGGGGTTCACTTCATTAATTTTGAGACTAGCTAATCCATATACAGCATGTCTGTTGGGTCTAAAAATATGATTTCCATTTGGTTAAGAGGACGGCACACGAGCTACTGTCGACCAATCTTCTCAAGGCCTCTGTAATGCATATCTAAACATAGTCGTAAGTCTAGAATCTAGAGACATCCGTTGCCCCAGCAGCCGCACCAGGGTATCTTGCCGCCCGTGTGGGAGCTGATCGAAATCTTGCGGCGGTTAGAACGCATGCTGAAGCTGGTCGAGGACTCGCGGGAGGAGCCAAAGCTATTCGAGTTGCGATCGGATTGGGAGGTAACCGTCTCGTGGTTGCTGTCCTGGTGGGAATGGTGGCTGTGATGCGGATTGCTGCTGATCAGGCTGCTGTGCTGATGGTGGTGCGTATGGTGATGATGATGCCCACCATTACCACCAGCACCACCCCCGCTCGAGCCGCTTATGCGATGCCCACTGTGCACGGTGCCCTCCGAGTGTCGGCGTGAGCACTTTGTGCGACTGACCGTGGCCGTCATGGGTACCGGATCGCTGCTCTCCTTTCTGTGATGATGGTGGTGTGTGGTGCTGGGCGGTGCGGACGCTGTAGTTACCGCCTCCGCAGGCCCGGCTGTCATTGTATTGCTGTTGATGCAACGGCGCAAGGAATGTGGGGAACTGGGCGTGCTGTGGCTTATCTGCCGGAAGGCCTTAATGTTGGGATGCATGAGTACGCCGCTCGTGGCGCTGGTAAGGTCACCACAGCTGGCCGTCGCTGTGGGTACTTCGCCTGCAGCAGTCTCCAATCCGCCATTTGCCAGCGGCTGCTCCTCGCCGCAGACTATGGAAACACGCCGAGCCTTACGCTTGGCCGCATCCTCCTCCTGCCAAGGGATTAAAAATCAAACAAGTACTCTCTATAAGCAAGATGCATTCCCTTAAATCTCACCTCGTTGGCTGTCCCAGTGTCAGCTGGCTCACCGCTTGTGCACTCCACGTCCAGGGATCGGGTCAGCTGCGTTGGCGCAGACCGAAAGATGGCTCTTTTAGCTGCCGCCGTTGCCAGCGATTTGTACAGGTGGCTTTTATTTGGCGAGAGTCCGACTGGCGGCGGTGGTGGTGGCTCCGTGGGCATGGTCACAGGCGGTGGACGGCGTGCCGGCGGCAATGGCGGTGGCGGTTTGGCAGGTAAACTGGGCTTAACGGCCAGGGGTGGCTTTTGGCCTGACGGTGACTGTGGCATGCTGGCTGCCTGGTTGAGCTGTTCGAAGCCCAGATAACTGCATTTCTCTGGAAACGGAGTCATAGGATCGGGCATATGGGGCGCCGGACTATCCGTGTGCTCTCGCTCCAGTGACCGGGTGCGACTGGACAACTTATGGCTGCCATTTGAATCGGAGGTGTTGCCGGCAGCCACAGTAGTTGTTGCCGTGCTGGTGGTAGCAGTCGAAGCTGTTGGATTTGTGCCGTCATATTGCAAATAGAGATTCATCTCAGAGCGATAGGGCTTACTCCTCTCCTTGTCATTGTTATTGGCTATGAGATTATCGCGCGACTTACTCTTCTCCAGCTGTATGGCCAGAATGTCGCCCGAAATGGTCTGTATGTCATTAAGCAGAGACTCCAAATTCACGGAATCCGTCTGAGTGAAGGAAAGAAGTTAATTTTAATATAAACTTATAATGGAAATGTGGTAATTTCTTAAGAGTTGTTACAAAATATATTATCAATGTGGGCAGGAGAACATTGAAGACATTCAGATGTCAGTTAATGAATACAATAAATAACTTCGAACACTAACATTTAACTAAACATTGATTGAGACTAGATATAGGAAACAAGATCTTATTAATGGGTATAGAAATACTTTCGGATACACAGAGAAAGCCAAGGCATATGTTGAAAGGGCATATTGAAAACAAATTCAATTTGGAATTTAAATGATGTAAGCAAAGATGCGACATAACGGAACGGTTTATTAGGCTGGAATTGGAATTTTGGATTTATAATAAATGTATTGAAATTATATTCACAAGAATTCTAATATAAATAAATACTTGGGCATAATCAATTTGTATTAAACAGATTTATATGATGACAGAATATATGAAATACAAACACTATAAATAATAAGTTTCCCGTATATGTATATATATGACTGGGCCGCAACTAAACGAAAACATGTGGAAATTTCATTATCTACAATGATATTCATTGACAAGTAAATGAAATTCTTGAATTGGGAAAGCTAACAAGCCAAAGATGACTGTGGGCTGATCCGGTTAACAGATCCCCTCACCTGACTGCCAATATCAACGATGCTCGATGTGGACAACGCGGCGATTGGCTGGCAGCTGGCTGCAGAAGCGGTTAGCTTTAAGGTCTGACGCAGCGGCGATGTGGTTGTTTTTGTGGTATTTGTTGTGACTGTCATCAGGGGCTGGGTCAGGGCATTGGCCGAGATGCAGCTACTGTGGCAGCCCTTTTGTGCGGTTGCGTAGACCGGTGTTACGCAACGGGTCAGGGGCAGCGGAGAGGGCGGCGCTGAAGCCGATTTGGCAGCGGCCGAAGCAGCAGCAGCTAGCGCAGCAGTATAAATATCAACCACGCTGCCGCCACAGGCGTTCGCCTCACCACCGCCAACGCCCAAGCCAACGGCAGCGGCCACATTCACGACCGCCCGATGTAGCGCGCAATGCTGATGCGGCGGCTGCTGGGGGAGTTTGAGTTGAGGTGTGGGCGGCTGCTGGCCGTGGCGCTGGCGGTGCTGGTGGCACGGTTGGTGGTGCAGCTGGCAATGCGAGCGCGCGCGATGCCGCGGACTTACTTGTGGCGAGAGCCGCGGGCCGGGCCGCTGGTATGGTGTCGCCAGCGCATTGTTGACAAATATATCTGGGGGATCACGAATCGGAGGTGCCGCCTCCGGCTGGAGGGGCGGTGGTGGCGAGCCCGGTGGCAGTACATCCTGTCCCCGATTGGCAAGCTCCGTGTTGAGCTTGAGGCGCGGCTTAATGGGAGCAAAGAAGTGCTTGGGGCTATTGAGCGCTTGTTGCGTGGCGTTTGTCGTTATGGCTACGGTCTCTATAATACCGCCAGCTCCGTTCGTGGTTGGCACATTCAGCGCTATCTTGGGCATCGCTTGCAGCGTGGATGTGGGCACAAAGGTTGTCAGCGGTACGGGTGGTGGTGACCTCGACGGCGACGACGTGTTCGAATATTTGCGCTGTGAGAAGGGCGATTGCAAATTGTAGTCCCAACCATTCGTATGCTTCATGGTCTTGCCGGTTGTGGTGCTCGAGTTGGTGCCCAGCTCAGGTGTGGGCGTTAGCACTGCATACAATCCAAAGGATGTCAGTTCAGAGTACATTTCCAGCAAGCGTTTACTTACCCGTATTCGGGCCCTGATGATGGGTTAGGATGTTCTCAAAGTACGAAAGCGGCGGCACCATTGCCTGCAAATCGTTTAGCTGATTGGCTACCAGCTCGATGGGTGTTAGGGGTGTCAGGGGGCCGACCAAGCTGGGCAGCGTGCTCTGCGAGCCATTGAGATCGGGTGTGCATATCGTTAGATGCTCCGGCAGCTGGGCCTGCAGCATTTCCGGATTGCTAAGCGTCTCCTCCGACACCACAGACAGATGGTCAAAGTGCATGGGCTGGTTATCCGATTTTGTAGACGCATTGTTTTCAACAGGCTGAGCTTGGGGCTCCTCCGGTGGCAGCGGCTGTTTGATTGGTACACAGGAACCACCTCGCTCCTGACAGCACTCGTCGCTGCAGTGGCCATCATCATCGCAGCGACACGTATCACATGATTCGGAGTCCTGCATGGCACAAAGCTTAAGTACTTAAAGAGCAAATTTATAGACGATTAAGGATCTCCACTTACATCACTGTTTCCATCACAACCTGCGCTGCCTCTGCCACCGCCGCTGCAGCGACGTCCGCTGCCCCCGCTGCCGCGACATCCGCCGTACTCGTGCTCGCTCAGTTTCGCCTTAAAGCGCTTATTCAGCCGATCGCATTCATCGCGCAGCGACCAAATCTCACGTCGCAGGTGCTCATTTTCGCGACGCAAACGCTTGATATCCGATTGACCTGTAACAAATCAGTTTACAAATTAGTCAATCTATAAGCTGATGAATAAATACTGTGATAAATATTGATTATTGTGTTATCTCTTTTTTGGAATTTATGCTAATCTAAGCGGACTATCCCATTGTTTACTTTGGCTTACCCAATGCTTTGTCAATGCAAATAATGTTTATGTATAAAAAAACTTTATATATATATAGATATAGCTAATTCTGTCTAGCTGTATCTATATATTTTCATTTCTTTCCTTTAGTTTCACGCTCCACGCATCGCTTTGCAGTTTCTAATGTGTTTTTAATTGGACTCTTGGATTATGATTATTTCGTTTCCTGTTTAAAAACAAATATATGCACATGTTTATGCCACAGATATGTATATATTTGTTTTATCTATTTTAAGCACATTTCTGTAGCGTTTTTTAAGTTTCTATTGCTATTTACCTCGCTCGACTTCCGCATTTATGTTGATTGTGCGCAATCTGAGCTCCTCATTTTCGTATATCATGCCACGTGATGACTTTCTGTCCAATCTGTAATTATTCAAACCGATGTTAGAACATAGCTTATGTAATATGTGTAGAGTATGTGAATTGTTAACTATACTGCCTTTCATCTGTTAGGGGCTGCCATTGGGAACGACGGCCCGTCAGCATTATGTGGATATATATATTATATATGTATTCTGGTCTCTAAAACAGATATCTTATCATATAAAGTGTGTTTGAATTGGTAGGTGATGCCTCAACGACTGCTGTAGGTCAACTGAATAGGGTAGACTCTATGCGTTTTGCCCAATAATTAGGCATTCCTCTCGGTCTGTGTTTCTGGGCTTTCAACACTCGCCGTGCATAAATAAATAATATGAAAGCGACGTAGACAAATAAATATATACAAATGATATTTTTCACGCATATACGAAATTTACCAAAAGACCCAACATTTAAAAAAATATATCGACCAATAAACTGGAGGTGATAGGCCCCATCTAGCTGGCAAGGGAGAAAACGGAACGCAAACAAACTATAAATTACATAGATTTGAAAAACATAAATTTGTCTTTGTATATATAATGTCGGGTACTGAGAAATTGCGCCTTAAAGAGTACCTTTTATTTAATAGTCCGCAAACATTTTTCTCCAATCAAATTAAATCAATTAAAGGCTATGCTCAAATCCCAAATGATCCATAAAAAGCCTCTGCAAATTTTCCATAACTTACGCTTTTTATGTATTTCAAAGCAGAAATGCGCGTGAATTTATTTTTGACACTGTTGTCTGAACAATTTTGAAAAACTGCCGACCTGTTGGACTAAATGCCATCGCGCTAAGCATCAGGATACCCTGTAGGCAGTGCGTGAAATGGGCATATATTAATGACTATAAGTTTGTTTCATTAATTTCATATATCGCTAACCAATTCCCTTTAAGCTCTGGTTGATCTCAATTTCTCTACCCATTAAAGCTTAAAGTTAAGGTAATAGATGAATCATCTTGTGCTGGCTTATAGGGTAAGTTATAGCATACTATTGTGGACTTCATTACTTTGTCGTTTTGGAAATGAGACAGTTTCTTCATTGCTTGTGCGGCAAGTTGATCAAAACAAGAAATATATATAGAAAAAAATGTTTCGAAATGAAGCAGAACAGGAAGGCGAAATACCCTAGACAGTGACATCTTTAAGTTTGGTTAGGGATATTTAAAAAGAAATTTTTATGCTAGCAAAATTTTCATTGTGCACCCAAGTCTGTTTATCTATTAAGGCTTAAATATATGAAAAATAAAAAATTGAATTTAAATTTAAAATTTAAATTAAATTTTGATAGTAATATAACAAAATGTTTATAATATTAATATAAAAATTTTCGATATTCGTTCAAAATACATTAAATTCAATTATATATTTAATACATTTGTTGTATCAATCAGTTCCACTTTGTTCATAAGCAGTTCAAAGTTCTAGTGAACTAGTACTGATTCCGCACAGGAACCAACAACGCTCCAGCCCTGTAGGCGAAAATCTATTTCTGGCAAGCGTGTAAGTGTGCGGAGGCGTGTGCGTGAGCAACACAATTGAATCGATAAATGTATGATCGATAGAAGGCGTAACGCTTGGCATTTTTATTCATAAAATGCGATGTTTATATGCACATACATGTGTGGAACGTAATGAAAACAATCGTTTGTATTGTGATTTGCACTGAGCTGCGGGGTAAACAGATTCGCAGTTTGTGTGAAACGTGTAAAATCAACTTGGACAATGTACATGACTCGATGATAAACAATAAACTTTATTTTTAGTTTCCGTTTGAGGCGGGAAATGTTTATTTTACGATCACTGAAGTGTATGGATATTAGAAATGTTAATGACTTTTAATATGGATCGATATATAGGGCACGAGATGCAGATGTTCATGACCAAAAAGACTTAGAATAAGTTCGCCTGTTCGAATAAAAGCGAATAACTATGTCAACGAGCTTACTTAGCTGACTTCTCGGAGCGCTTGTTGCTCTTGCGACTGCGTTCATTGTGCGTTCGAGTACTTTTCGCGCCTTTCATTTAATACACAAATAATGGGCTAAATACTTTAAAACTGTGACACAATGTAGTTGGCTTCGCAAACATAAGTTCACGCGACGCGTGCTTAACTTTAGACGGAAACTAATTAGCTACACAATTTGTTTACAGTTGTACATTTTTTATTGTGATTTTCATTCTTTCTGTTTTTTTTTTTTTATTTTTATTTGTTTCTAAACCATATGAAAAATTAGATAACAAAAGAAAATTCAGCGCAGCGAAGACGTGAAAAAATGTTTTTCGTATTGCAATACCGCACGATTCGGCTATGAACAGAAAACTGACAGTTGGGCGAGATCAGTTTTGGCCAAAAACAAGCGACTACAACAACACCACAAAGGCAACAAACGAACGCCAACGACTGGCATTGAATGCCGCCAAGAGCAACAAGCTCTGCCCGTGACGGCCACTGGTTCAATTTTTAATAAAAACTAAACTAGAAGAAAAGAAGAAACACCAACAATACGAAACGAAAACTGTGAAGAGTTTCATAAAGCAAAGGCAGCAGCAGCTAAATCTTTAAGGCACAACCAATATCAACAAATCATCGTTCTCAATGAAAGGCGGGCACTCTGCTCAGAGATTAAATGTGAAAAGAAAAACTCAGACGTCAAATATCTAAAAGCAAATACCGATGGGAACATTGCTCTCTCTCTCTCTCTCTTTGCTTCTCTTTCTACTTATTACAATCTAAAGGTAGTGTTGGGCAACGTCAGTTGAATCCATTATAGACGTAAGCAATCAAGTATTATTGACACTATAATAATGACACTATAAATAATAAATATATCTTTAATAGTAATTGGAACATGAAATTAAAAATTAAAAATGAATAGCCTAAATTGAGCAAAATTAAAAATAAATTACATTACTCTGTGTAAGATATATTTTTATTTATAAGATATTTTTGAATGTTCATTAAATTTTATTTAAATTCAGTTTAAAATTAAAATGTTCCTTCTATATTAGAGTCAGTTTCTAAAACTATTTAAGCATTTATTCAATATTCTAAATAATTAAATATATAAATAAAATTAAATATATTAAATATATAAATAAAATTAACTGCTCAGTAAAGGCATAGAACAAACAAATGGCAAATGAGCCTGACCAAACACTGACTATTCTAAGTAAATTTAGATTTTCTTCTTTACTTTCTGTGAAACTTAAAGTCTTAGATAGGTAGAAAAGTGTGTTGGACACATTGGAATAGGGTATATAGCACGAGATATAGCATTGGAACTTGAACTTTTGACGTAGCCATGCAGTCAGCGAGTTTTTAACAGGAAAAAGCTCTTACGATTAGCTTATATATACAAATATATGTGTATTTATAGATATATATATATATATATATATTTATATATATATATATAAATATATAAATTGTAAATGTAAAAAAAAACTAAATTCATTTGTATATAAAACAGAAATAAATAAGATTAGTTCTTTTCATATAGATTTGAAAACATATTTTAAAAAACCAATTAACTATTTTTTTAAATAATGCCACTAAGAACTTTATGGATATCGTGAATTTATTTATGCATTTTATATTTGATATAGTTGCGCTTAATGTGATTTGCAAATTTAATTTGGTATCTGCAACTAGTTTAACTGTTTGTCTTGATTACATAGCAATTAAATTCAATTTAATCAAACCATTAATCGGATTGGTTTATAGTTGGGAGTGTTCACGATTTTCACAATTACAATTTGACTACAAGCAGCAAAAAGACAACAAAAATTAATTTATTTTAACAATAAGCAGCTGATAATATAAATTACCCAGCTGCACCGCAATTTCAATTAATTTTACAGCTCTGTAGCTACCGAGTTAAATAACATTGTAAATTGCTTAACCATTTTTTATTTTGCATTATTTTCGTTTTCATTGCCGTGCATTGGCCAATGATTAGCTGGATAGTCAGCGACCAGAGTAGCGTACAAAAATAAGTATCTGAAATGTGTCACGGCTGCTGACAGGCGCTATAAGTGGTGCAAAATAAAAGTATCTCGTGCGCCCACACGAGCACAACCGCAAATAAATCTTACATCAACGGACACACACTATTTAACCCAACGATCTGTCTGTCAGCTGAGGTCAATAATTCTATTTGGGTTAATGTAAACATGCATGCAAATGTACTTCAAATACATTTTCTTTAGAAACATTAGACAGATGAAAGCCTAAAGCTAAATAGTTGATCTAAGTGTCATCGTTGAAACAATGACGTAACTGATAGCTATCTGCTCATACCCGAACTGATTTCTAAATCCGAGTCTCACCCATCCTACGGCCTTTTAGGGGCAATCGATTTGATTTAAATAAATTTATAGTAAATGAAAGCATCATCTCAAAGGTGCCCACTACTTAATAAATGCATTGTCAAAATAATGTCCAATAACATAAGTTCATAAAGTTAATAATGAAAAAAAAACTATACTTTTTAGAAGTCCTTTGTCTTTCTTCTTTTAAACACAATTTGTTGAACATCTGCATTACACCCCAAAGTTTGATCTTTATTTTAAAGGACTTCAAAACACATATCTTGAACTTTTCATTTCACGATCAATAAAATTCATTTTATTTTATTTATAATTACTAAATTTCATCATATTCACTTTTGACCTGGTTGATCTTAAAGGCTATCTATAATATAATCTATCCGGTTTTATTGAAATTCTATATAAATATTTCTCATAATTCTCATAATTAATATATATTGTTGTATCTTATATCTATGCTCAATCAGGTGCTTCTTGCACCTGCTTCATAAAGCTAACTACAGATTTTTTGACTTGCTGCCAAATGAATTTAATTTTGTCTATTACTACGCCCACTTTTCAGCTGACCCTCGCTATATTTTAGTTTAACAAATATAAAGTTCACAGTGCTAGTCATAAATAATATTTTGTTCACATTCATGTATGTGTTTCGTTATGCTAATTCGTGAATTTAAATTATTTATAAGCCATTAAAAAATTAACAGAGGTTATAAGAGCCAATTAATATTCAACACAAAAAACGTATTTATTTATTTTGTTTAGTTTCAATATATATATCTATATATATATTTATATATTTGCCGAGTTCGTGCCAATTTGTTGCTGCGCTAATTATTGTTGCTGGCTGCCATTGTTTTCTTTGACATAAATTAGACGCAGACAGCTTAATCTAAACCGATAATATTTTAATATTTGTTTTAAGATGCCGATGAAATGTTTCTTTAGGAAATTATTGCATTACTTAAAACTAAATTAGTAATCGGGTATATTAGTTCTTGGACTTCTTTGACTAATTTATACATTTTTACTGTTGAAGTTTTTTTACTTTAACTATCAGAATATATTTTTTTATATGAAAGACGTTACTAATATTATTTAAAAATATGTTACTTATTGTTTTTTTATATGTAAAAATAATAATAATTTTCGTTTCTGGTAATAGGAATTTGGCATTAGCAGAGTTAGACTCTTATAATAAATGAAATACAAATAAATGTATATTTTGAGTATAAGAGAACTTCGTAAATTCTTATGCGCATGATCCTTAAGAAAAATGCAGAGCTTTAGCAGAACGTTTGGCCACACTCGCTCTCTCATTGATCGCAAAGCTTTGCACTGCTTGAAAGCTCATTCGATCGTGATTTCATCAAACGGTTGGCGGTTCAAATTCAATTCTTATCAACAATTCATGTAATCTTATAGCTAAAATATGTAAAGTTCGATTCAGTTACCTGCTATTTAGCTTATAGTGTGCATGACGTCTTCGTTCTCGGAGCATAGTCGTGCGTTAGTTTGCCGCATATGAAAGAAAAACCAGCAAACCAAAAAAAAAAAACAAATGCAAAAAGACACATAAAGTACAGAAAGAAAAGAAAAACGAAAGAAAAATAACAAAAATACAAACAAATCAAAACACAACACAAAATACAAAATACAAATACAAAAAAAGAATGAAAAACACAAAAGTTTTTTCGAGAAAATTATTTTCGTTGTTGTAAATGTGTAAATTTGTAAATGTAGAAATGTGATTTTTGTATTTTATACGTTTTTCCTTAGATGCGAGAATTCACTTTTACTTTGTTTATAAATACTCGAGAGCGTGTTTATTTAGATAGAGCCAAAGTGTGTAAGCGCATGTTGAATATTTCGGCACAGAAACAATACAAATAGAGCTCTAAATGAAAACATTTAGAAATGAGATATTTACCGACAGATATTGCGAATTCTAAACTGTTTTGCGAACAACTTTTCCATTTTAAGATTACAAAAAAACCAACACACAAAAAGAGAGAAACTTTCCAGACACAAATAAAAATTGTTGTAAGGCATATTAATGACTGCTTTAATATCTTGATGTTCAATGACATTCTCTAGGACCTGTCTGCCCCGAACACAATGCCCAGGCGAGCGCATAAATATATATTCAGATATGTATATGAGTATATAAGCATATTCATATGGAAATTTGTGTGCCTTCCACAACGACAATGCACAAAGGCATTTTTCGAATAGGCTCCTCTTCCCATCAGCAACAACAACGACAACAGCAACAGCAACACATAAGAGGTTTGGTTAGGAACTTATTCAAAGGGTCGTAGCAGCATTATCTGTCAAGGCAATTGATTTATCGATCAAGTTGTCAAGTGCTCATTGTCATCATTCAATCAGTATTTACACATGTGCTACAATCGAGACCAGCTCCTTGATTGGAGCACCGTATGTGAGCTAATGGAACTGATTTTGTAAGACTTTCTAACTGATATCAGAAAATCAGAATAAATAATCAACAAACAAATAATATTAAAGGGCTGAGCTGCATATTAAGCAAATATTATAATGCTCATCAGATCTTTGCCCATTGCTATCCATTTGATATAGAAATAAAGTCTAGGAAAGGCCTCTAGGCTAATCAGAAATATTATTTGGAAAAATTTTTCACATTTCTTCAAACATATTGGCATAAATAAAAAGTCTGTGAAATAAACTTTTCAATAAAAATAACAAAGGAAATGAGAAATATATATATATATATATATATATATATATATATATATTTTTTTTTTTTTATGTCTTTTATGGCTCATTAAATTCTGAAGTGAAATACATTTAATTCATTGAGCTATATATATTTTTACTTATTAGTATGAATAGAATTTCATTGAGGCTTTGAGTGCCTGTCCTGCTGCTGGAAAACGATAAATAGAGTACCTGTCAGTCGCTTGAGTGCGATTCAGTGCTGTTTATTTATAAACTTACTCAGTATCGTAATAAGAACTCATAAATATAAACACGCGTTTTATTAATTAAATGCTATTTTCGTGTGCTTCTCGATGGGCCGAGCGCAATTAGCGCGGTGTGGATGGAAAGTGTTCGATTCGATTCGATGAAGAATTGGGCTTATTATTTTCGGACACTTGCGCATGCCAGGCATACTTCAAATACAATAAGTGGATCATAAATGGAATTTTAAAAATACATTTCAGCGTTTGTGGAAGATGGTCGCAAGCGTTGACAAAGATACAGATGCAAATGCAGAAAAGATACAGATACGACGCGGCGTGACTGAGAGGCAGGGGACGGGCACAGGTTTGAACGCGCACGGAACGGGCCAACGGATACGTTGTGGCCTGGCAGGCACGCGACTTCCAACTGCACCACTGCGTCTGGGGCCAACCACTTGGCCGCATGCCCCACGACTGTTGCTGTTGCTGTTTGTGTGTTTCTTGTTAAATAATTGCGTATACATTTTATTTGTTGTTGCTTAGACTATGCCAACGCACACGCACGCACGCAGGGGCTGTGGGCGGGGCTGGCGTTGCATACGGCATGCCAATTCAGTGACGGAATATGCGTGCGGCTTCTAGTCAAAATTTACATCCATTCGTTGAGCAAACTACAAATTGAGACCGCACAAAAAAAGGCGACAGCAGCTAATGACGAATAGGGAATACCCTTTCTTTTTGGAATGGAGGGTTGATGGCTGCTGGTTTATATCCAACTTGGGCAGAATCTTAAGATATCGATTAGATCTTTTAACACACAAAATATTCTTGAATTTATTTATTTATTATTGAAATATTCTTGAATTTATCTGTGCAACCTTGCCTTATAAAATGATCTGTTATAGTATTATTATTATTTGTATCATATTCCATAAAGTCGAATCTAAATCTCTTTATGCTCTCCACATTGCATCATAGCTCCTTAAGTCTCTCTGTCATAGTGTATAAAAACCATAACTTTTTGTGTGCGTGTTCGAAGCCCAATGCACAGCCGAAAGAAAAGCAAATAAGGCCCAAAATGACTGAGATTTTGTTTTTGTTTCTGATTTTTCCATGGGCCCAGCGTTTGCTGCATTTGTGTTTTGTGGGCCAAGCTCTTTATTTCGTCTGGCACTTGACTTTTTGCGCAAAAAACTTGTTTGAGATTTGTAACGAAAATGCAGCCGCTCATAAATTCCCATAAAGATCACTCAAAGGCATATTCGAGTGAACTTTCTGATGTACGAATGGACAACACATGGCTTTAACAGTGCAACGCCTTAAAGAGGTGCGATTGAAGCGTGGGCAGGGCAATGTCACCTAAATGTTGTATAGTTTTAGACAACATTATCATTTGTTTGATAGGTTTTCCACGACTTGAACAAGGCAGCCAGGCACTGGATTACAGCGACACATAAATAAACAAGTTTATGATCAAAAGTTTTCCAAATGGTTTCTGACTTTTCAAAGCATAATTTATGGCTCGCTGCTTTGACACTTCCAGCAGGCGGCAAAAAGGCTTAAAAATATTTATAAATCTTGGCATTTAATGAATACGCTTAAATGCCGTTCTAGTTTATAAGTTGCATGCCCTTTACTTAACATTAAGCTCTTTGAGATTGTCCCAGGCTCAACTGATGTTTCTTATTGATCTTAATTTGATTATGATTTAAGTTTGGCAGACATGCACCACAGCCTTATATTTCCCTCTTGATATTAGCCTTTTCCCCATTATTTTTCCTCGACAAAATCAGATTATGAGTATGTACATATGCACAAATATATAAAATTTTTAAATGTTTCACTTAATTTGATTAGGAATTTTAATTCTTCACATAAATCTGGTCAAATATATTTCAAGCTGTCGCATTTATTTATTTTAAATGTGTCAGAATTTTAACTAAATTAGATTCTTGCCAAAGAAATGGTCTGTTTACGTTTTGCGGCTGTCTGCGCTGTGGACACATGTCTGGTGGAAAGGTGAGTGCGAAGATCGGGCAGAATCTATTTTGGAAACGCACTCACAAAGCTGAATCACAGCTGTAAAGTTGGCCAACATTCCAGTATGCCAAAGAGACAGAGATAGAGAGAGAGAATGAGAGTGACCGCCATATGCCGACAATTTGGTTCAATGATATTTACAAGTGCGGGCTAACACTCTCCTGGCCTTTCCTGGCCTTTGCCTTTACTCATTCCTCGGCCTATTTTGTAAATATTTTCCAAAATAAAAACAATGCGTCACACCGTTTGGCAGTGCTAATTGAAGCGATCCAACCGAAAGACATAAAAGCGGATAAATAATGCTTCTGCTTGGGGCAGATGAATCTTAAATACCCTTGAAATTCTGATTGACAGCTACTGAAGACATCAAATGTTTGTGTTTAGCATCACAGATTTTAACGTAGCCCATTCGCAGCTAAATGAAATTTATTCCGATGCTTGAGATACCCTATCTGTAGGTTTCTAAAATCTTTCTCTTAGATCAAACTAGAAGTTGGCACTTTTCAAGGTGTTCTCCTAGTACCAAATGAGTCCCGATTTGACTCTTCTGTTATATATTCAGGATATATACCTAACTCATTTATCAGTTTTTTTTTGACAATCAGCCATTATGTGAAACAATCAAAGGTCAGCTCGTCAATCAGACAGAGTTTACTCTTCTATATAGATATATAAGAGTAAATATATATATTATTATTATATATATTTTGTATCAGTTAACAACAATTCCCTTCAATTCCCTTCAATTGAGCACTCTTTACTATAGACACTTAACTATTGCAGAGATTTGGTATAGCGTAACCAACTGCATAGCAAAGTCAAAACACCCCATCTATACTTGATTGCGGCGTCATATTGTTATGTTCAATCAATGCGATTTTCGCGTCGATTTCCTTGTGCGATCAAGGTAGCGGAAACGAGATCAATTTAATTACTCAAAAATTATCGTGGCACAAATCGCTAGCCATAAAATCATACACGAAATCGTTTTCCTTGTTGTTGTTGAAAATCAACTGGGAAAAATATTATGGCTAGCTGGGTAGCTGGGTAGTCCGGGGCTCAATGTTCCAATGACGCTTTTTATGAGCGCAAATGAAATGCAAATAATATTTGAAGCGTTTTCAATTTTAATTTCATTCGCTGCTAATTGTACGAGCCAAATTGAAATATGCACAAGTATGAATATGTTATCATTAATTGCAATACACGTATATAGCTTGGTGGAAAATTTGCATAAAAAAGTGGAAATCGGTTCAATATATGCGTTTCAAATTAAACATTACCCCACTGACATGTTCGGTCGACAATTTGGGGCCTAAAGCTAGAATAATGTGCTGCCCAATTAAAATGAAATTCAATAAATTTTTTCTTTGATGCTAAAGACAAATTTATGCGACCGAACAAACCATTTGCCAGACGTGGCCGTCATTTAATTAGCCGCATAATAAATACATTGAGAAAAAATAAATAAATTTATACATATATGTATGTATATATATATATATGTGTGTGTATTTGTGTTGATTTTAAATGATTTCAAGTACATTTTACGGCGTAATTGAAATAAATCTCGGGCCCGTAATGCCTTTAAACAATGCTTCATTCAGCCTGATAGTAATTAAAGCTCTTTCGGATTTAAAAACAACACAAGACTCCAGAAGCACAGGTGAAGCATTTTCTGACCCAGAAAGTAGGCAAAAGGTTCAGCCTTGTACATTGCAAACTAATCCTTGACAGCTTTCACTACACCAAACTAATTGACTTAGTAGGCGTAAAATGAAATTTGTATTTTCATTTAAGTTATTAATGCCATACACAAGTCTGAAAAGTTTCTCTCAATTCATTGACAATTGAACTTTAATTCTCTTAAGCTTACTTTAATTACCTATTTTCTGTAGCTCAGTGAGGACTTTTATTTACAGGTTATTTAAAGCTTAAAACATTTAAGTTAATTTTCAGTCAATTGTTATTTTGGTTTTGGAAAATAATATAAAAATTAAAATTACATTTAGAAAAATTTAAGAACATAATCAAATTAAAATTTGCAAATAAATTTATCAAATTCTATTTGGAAAAGTTGTATGTGCCTTTCTTAAGCTCAGCCCTAACTATATATCTGTTTATTCTCTCTCTGAACATAATTTCATTAATTGCGGAATCTATATGTTGTTTAATCAACTCGTTGATAGCCAAATGAACTCTGTTATTTAGTTGTAAATAATTGAAATAATTGAGTTTGGCAACTTTGAAGCTTGGAACATTTTTGGCCATAGACAATTTGCGCTCGCAGACTTGGAAGGAATTTTCGCTGAGCTGAACTAAATAAAGACGCTCGAGTAGCTGTAAATGAGTATGTGAGTGTACTTGTGTGTGTGGGAGTGTGTGTGCTTTGCATGTTTGTATGCTTAACTATGTTGCAACGTACTTGCTTTCGTTGGCGATGAGCTTTGCGTTGATTTCCGCTGATTGTTGTCGCTGTTGTCCCCGTTGCTGCCGCTCGCCCGTCCGCTAATTAAATTGTCATCCAAAGAAATGCCGTCGAGCCAATGCATGACATTATTTCAATTAGTAGACACTAATACACACTCACGCACACATACACATGACGAAAGAGAGACAGAGAGAGAGAGCGCGGGCGACGGGTGCAAATCACATTTCAAGCGTGAAGAATTGATAATTCGTAAACGTTGACACTTCGTCACAGACACATTCTTCACATGCTGCGCGACTTTTCCACGACGATAATAACTCAATTTTCCGCTTGTTTTTCCCGGCAACAAGTCGTCCGTGTGTCGGCTGTTGCCTTCTTTGCTTTGACTTTTGTATTGCACTTTAGCTGCGCTTTCAACACACATACGCCCCGTGCGCCCGCATAATTAGCACAATGCACTTTGCCGCAGCTTTTGCTGCTTTTATTCTGCTTGTTATTGTTAATGTCTTTTTTTTATTAAAGCAATTTATTACTTATTTTCAGCTGCACATGTGCTGTGATTGCTGCAACTGCATTTCAATTAAATCAAATAGATATATATGCACTATATTTGTATGTATGAAACAAAATTTACAGCACGACACGATCTTTCGATAATTCGTATCGATTTGTATATTCTATCTGCGACTTGTTGTTGGCACGCTGGCTAACCGGCTGCTTCTGCTGCCACTGACTGACACGCCGGACGCTGACCGGGCCGTAGTAGCTGCTGCTGCTGCTACTGCGACGGCGACTGCGAATGCTACTGTGGCCGCGTCTGTAGCGCATTTCCAATCGCTTCGCACGTTATTGTTTCCATTGTGTTCGATATTTGTATTTTCTTGTACTTTTGTTATTCCTACACACACTCACACACACAAATATATATATATATATATATATACATATATATATAGATAGCGCTGCCTAAGTTTGCCTCAATTTATTGTAGCTTGTTTTTTTTTTTTTGTTTTGTTTTGTGTTTATTTTATACACATTCGAACTGTTTCTAGTATTACGCTAAAGACGACCCCTAGCCGCAAACCCCTTCTGAGTATGGGCCGACAAACCCACAGAGAGCTCGCCTTGTACTCTGGCCAATTTCCTTGCCGACATGTCGGGACATAAACATGCGAATTAGCATTCGGGTTGAACGGAACTATTGTCTAGAGCCCACATACCTTGTAATTGCGCGTATTCTATGTGGGCATTGCTTTATGATAACTAGAACCGATTTGACTTCACCTAGTCGAATTACTCATGGAACACGAATGATTAAAGATCGCCACAGCATGTTCATTCTTTCGATTAATTACCTAATGGGGAACAAGCAGACTTCGTGTGCTTTATAGGTCCAATAATTAAAAATCAATTTGATTGGCCCGACTTGTTCGCACTTCATGATTCGAGAGTGTATGTAAGCCATAAACAGAGCACAGCAATACACTATACAGCGGAAATCTATGCAAATTAATGGAAAACCTATTTCCAATTCGATTGTTCATGGCAATATCTTAAATAAAAATTTTATGAAAGTGATATAAACGTATAATTTATGACAAGGCAAACATCAAATACTTTGTTGCATGAAATATGAATGTTTTATTTTTATACCCTTTAGAAATTGTGTGAGTGGAAGAGGGTATGCTGAAGTGGCGGCCATCTGTATAACTCTGGGATCCAAGAGCTTCATATAAAATAATTGCGAGAAACAAAAATATTAATTATAATAAAAAATAAAACCATTGTTAAATATTTGGCAAGAAATATTAAATAAATATTATCAATCCAGATTGTGTCTCTAGGTATCAGCTAGTCTGTCAACAACAAGTTTGAAGCTTGATATGATGAAAAAAACATACAAATGACCTATTATTCAAGTAGATACAAAATTTTAACTAATTATTTAATTGAGTTGAATTTCAAAATTGTTTTTTTTTTTAATTTTTTTTTTATTGATTTTGAGAACAATTTAAGGTATTTCATGTTCCCGCGGACAGCTGACCACTGTGCGGCACGTCAACATTCAACGAGTTGACAGCCGTGATTGAAAACCCATTTTTGTAATTTAAAACCAATTGTTAATAAACCGAACAGCAGCAAGACACAATTGCTCAAAGTTTATTTAAAACAAAAATATATATATATAATAATATATATATTAGTATATATGGACTATTGTTTTGAAATTTTAAGTGTGGCCTTCAATACGTTGCTGAGATTTGCATGCGAATTGATTTATTACACAACAGAGACGTCACTCGCACTGTCTGCACTTGCGATGCAACGTCAATTGAGCAAATGCAGCAGAAAAGTTTTTTGTTTTTGGCCGTAACGAATGGCGAAAGGAAATCGCGCGATATATAATTTTGTTGTTGCTTATTTACATTTCAATCAGAAAACAGCAACAGCGAAACGGAGGTGGTCTCACTCTCACTAACTATCTGTCAGCATCGATCGCGCCACGCGGCGTATGAGCGATATTTTCTATGCCAGCGTCAAATTTTCGGCACCGTCCGCAACGTTTAAAAGACCGACTTACTCTGCAGCTAACTGCATGGCACGGCGCTCCAAACAGCTGCTCTTCCAGGCAGCCTCATATGTGTATGTGTGTAGGTGTGTCTCTGTGTGTGTGTGTGCGTAGGTCGTAAATGAGGCGAGACAACGCAGACAACATGAGTCGTTGGAAGAGGAGGAGTTGTTACGTTCCCTTCCATTCTGTTCTGTTTCATTCTATTTTGTTCTTGTCTACGGCCTATTGGCCCCGCCTGCCGCCCACAGGTCCCCCTTCGCGTCAGGCTGCTGCTGTTGTTGTTGGAAATTTAAAAGAATCAAAGGCAACGGCAAAGAGCGAAATTAAGTATTTAGTTGTAGTACAAGCACTCTATATAGTATCTATCGCAGCTAGACATGCATACTGCCTCATGCATCTTGTAGCACCACGATGAGGTGGCGTAGCGACTGGAGGTAAGCGTGGGGTGTTAGCTGCAGACAGTGGCAGCTAGTGTGTATGGCAATACTTAAATTCACTTGGGTCTAGAGTGGACCAAACAACGTAAAGCAGAGCTAACTGACTTGAAAGATAAGAATTTTAAATATTTTCATTTTATATAGTAATGCTTCATATTGAGCTTGAGCTTGAGTTTTTAACTAATTATAAAATAGGCAGCAAATTGATAGCTTAACAACTTGCAATTGACTCGTCCCATGTCAAAAGACCTATTAAATAATTGATTACGGCTATTGAGTAAAATTGTGATTACATTTAATTGCTGCATGATTGGGTCCACCCTAAACCATCCCAAGCGTCTCAGTGTCTGCGTGTGGGTTTATGTCAAAGCTGAATGAAAGCAGAGTGAAAAATAAAATGTGTAAGAGTCTCATTGGCGTGCCGAGATAAAATGCATTGTTTATGGGAGAAGAAGGACAAAAAGTAATAATTAAAGAAAATATATATAAGGGATGGAGAATGATGTAACGGAAATTGGCCCAGGGGTTGTCAAGCAGCATGAATTTCGCGAAGTACGCTAAACGAAAACTTGAGAAGGTAAAAATATTTGTAAAAAAAAATATTTGTAAAAATAATGAAGGCAAGTTTCTTTCATAATTTGTAATGGGTTGGCAACCCTGCTTGGCAATGGATGCCCATGCATATAACATTTGTATATGTGTATGCTGCACATATATTATTTAGTCTTTTATTATATTACATGCGCACACGCCGCCGACTCGTACTTTCGCACGGGCGTAACCCATTTCCTCGGCCTTGCCTCATGCCACCAACCACAGCCACAGCCACTCCCCCTGCATGGCAACAAAGTAACAAGTCAGCATGCGCTGCTTCCAATTAGCACGTCATCGATGGAAGCACAATCTGAAATCGAGCCTTGTCTTGCTTCGATTATCTTATTAGAAACGAGACTCATTCCACACAAATAGAAACATATACAAAATAAACGATGTATATTCCAGGACCATGCATGTGGGCTTGGACGACTGCCAGATAAATTATTGCATTCGGCTTTTCTCGAAGGGTGCCGTAGGGAAATGCTAATAAAAAGTCATTCAAAGCAATATGCATTTATATATATATACTCATATACACATATACATATACATATACATATACATATACATATACATATACATATACATATACATATAATCATACGCATATACATAAACATATATAGCCGCAGACATTGGGGCGTATTTATTCAGTTTGTTTTGGGGACATCTCTGAGTTGCCGTGAAGTAACCTTTGACGCTGTTCGCTGTTTCACTGTAGGAGGAGTTGCCAGACACGGCCTGACGTTGCCAGACAATGTCAGGCAATGCTGGACAATCCAGGTGCTTTCCAAGTAGTTTTAGTGTTACGCATACGCAGCGTGTACCGACCAGAAATTCAATTTGAATATAACAAAGGAAATCGGTTATGAATTGTAATCCATAAACGAAAAGTAAGGCAAAATATACAAATGTTTATTTGTGTGTGTGCACCTACATATATAATTTATGGCTTATATGAGTTATTTGTTTTTTTTACCTGTCGAAAGTCTTTTCCTTTTTGAAAGCAATTTTCGAATGGCAACAAGTGCACTCTTTGGGGGCAGCTCTTCGTGTGCCGTTAGCATTCAACTTGCCCCATGATGCAGCAACCTCTCTCTGGCCGACCCCCTCCACTTCTTACTTAGCTTTGATATTCGTTTTATTGAAATGCATGCCGAATGGCGAAAGGCGAATGGTTATTGAATGAGTGAGGCAGAGAGCTGGAGATGGAGTGAGGTGCTCGGCACAGTTTCAATTGTATTTGATTACAAAGGTCAAGATGCGGCAAGTGCTGTTTTTAAATGCTTCAAGGGGAAGCTCTTCAAATTTATTTAATAAGCTGCAAAAGTGCACTAAAAGTAATAAACGCAATTTCAATTGTTCGCCATTTGAATAAGCAGCGAAATAATAAGGACTCAATTTTTATTGTAGCAAAGCGAGAGCTTGAGCTCTTGTAATTGCTTTATTTGTATGTGAAAGAGAAGTTCCAAAACCAATCGAAAGTTAATCAAAACAAAAACAACTATGCCTACCAGACTCTCTAACTTCAATTTTCTTTCATTAACCTAGTTTTCCGAATCCTTGGCCATGGCTCATAGCTCAAATCAAAAGGCATTAATTTGCTTTTCAGTAGAATTTAAATTTTATTTCTTGAAGTCCGCGCCGCAAAGTACCATAAAGATATTCCATAAAGGAAGGTTGGGACGACTATAGCCTAGTAGATGGACAAATTGTTCGAGGCGCTCCTGAAGAGGTTTGATTACTCACTTTATTGAAATACATATGGTTTAATCTAAGGTTTGATGGCAATGTTGGCAACTTGTTTGATAAAAACCTCACTTCACACAAAATAAAAAGTGTAATTTCATGTTTTATCCGTGTATATAGTAAGCACTCTGTAGCCAATCAAGGTGGTTATTATAATTAAGACTCAAAGTAAAACTTAAAACTTTCTTAGCACAATCTCAAGTTTAACTGCACTTAGAGTCTCTACTCAGGAACTTAAAGTGAAAATGGAGTACAGACACAAAGATGGATGAGTGCTTAAAAATTAATCACCTTTTAACTGTGCGCTTGATGTGAAAGACTTCCGCCATGCTTACGGCAAGACAAGAAAGAGTCAAATCTTAAAGCGGACAAATAAAGATGAGGCATGTTAATGTTGTTCTTGTAAAATTCAAACATATTATTAACAATAACTTCAAAGGCAATTATCATTAATTGTTATGGCCATTTAAATTTAACGCATCATTAACGGCGCCAGCCAAACGGACAACAACAAACTTGGGCAAAAAGCTCGCGCACAGCACTCATTTATAGCAA